CTGGGGAGGCGATTTAAACGCTTGCAGACGGGGCATTCGGCCAGTGACTTCAGCATGGTATGAGGTACCTCAGACAGAACCACCCGGTTCGTCTCCCAGACTCTGATCCCTGGGCCCATCCGCAGCACAGCAGCTGCCCGACGGCACAGCACGTGCCTTAAAAATCAGGCTTTGCACAGATGAGCCTTTGCTGTGTGCCCAGGATAGAATCACTTTTTCCCTGCCTCCTCATTTAAAATATGCTTATCGCCTTGAGGCACAACTCCAGCAATGCCTGGTCTGGCACTCAAGGGCAGGATTTGAAGGAGGAAGATGCCTATCACTCCAAAACCAGCTGGAGGAGAAAAACAGATGCAATTTTTCCTTCCACTGATGACTGAAGATGTGCCTGCTAGACTCGACCTGGGAAGCTAGTTTTATTACATTAGTGGGTTACATGTGACTGCTGGGTTTTATTGCACAAAGCTTGTGCATATTAAAAACAGCCCAAGTTACTCACGTGATAGGCACTACAGTGTCTTTTCCTTCCCCTGCGTCGACAAAATATCAGCGAGAGAAGGACTGAACTACCTACAAAGTCTCTATCGCTAAATTTCAAAGGCAAATGGACCCTTCTTAAAACGATGGCTTCAGGGCCAAATACAGCTACGCAACCACATCAGGATCTCAACTTTCATTTATCCAGTTTAATTTATTAAGACAGCAGTTTTTAGTCTTCACCATCGCAAAAACGTGGGAAAAGCTTAACCAAAGCAAGCTGACGATGGGAGGAAGCGCACCAGGCTTTATGAAGACCAGCTGGACTCCCAGCTCCACCTCCCCCAGGGCACACGAGCACTCTGCTGGCAAAAGGGGCACAGGACTTGGACGAGGTCGAGTGTTGCCCTCCCTACGTGCAAAAGCAGTCACGTCGGATCGAGAGGAAGCGCTCAGGTGAGTTCAGCAAACAGAACTTAGCAGAAACCTTTGTCTTTTCTCTCCCCCGTAACATCCCCTTTTCGGCTTTTCACATGGAAAAATTACACTGAGGGAAGAGGAGGTGTGGTGAAAAAAACTAATCCCAGGGTTACAACAGATGTAGACACTGCAAACACGGTGCTATTAGAAAAGGTTATAAATCTGCCTCCAGATGCTTGTTATCGCCGTGCTGCTCGGGGGTTATAGCCCCCTCAGATGTGTCAGTAGATCTCCTTGCAAGAGGAAGGTCTCTAGCCCTCCTCCCCTAGCCCTCTTTAGCCAAAATGAGACAAATCAGACCGAACTGTTTACATAACTCTTTCCAAAGGCTGGCTCATTTGGCCAGAAATGGGTTAAGGATAGCTCAGGAGAACAGCTACAGGTCCCAGAGATTAATCTGAATGGCCAGAAAACTGGCAAGGAGCAGAGGGCAGGCCAGGGCAGTGACCTCCCCTCTTGGCAAGGCTGGATTCAGGAAAGGACTTCTGTCCACAGTCCGCACCCATGTACTCATGCTGGCATAAGCCTCTTTGCTAACATCTAAAGTTCACGGTGAAAATAACTTTCTTGATGATTCTGCATCAGGTTTAAGCCAAAATGAAAAAAACCAGAAACCCTCACTCTTATTCTGAAAGAAGTATCCTGGTGGGACACACAGCGATGCTGGTTTAGAGTGGTACCAGCAGTGGAAGTGCTCCCGCACGCCATCCCTTCAGAGCCCATGGACAGAGTCAAACAGCGACCGGCCTCCTCCCCAGTGTTAACCAGGGAACTTACTCCAGCAGGATACGAACAACTGATGAACTTTTAATACATCCATCAGACATTTCCAGCCTCTCCCTTTTCCTCTATCGCGAGGGATGCTTCCCAAAAATCACTCCATCTGCTTCAGAGAGCTCCAGCTGAGAGCACGAGCAACTTCGCCTCCGTAGCGTCCCTGTTAATACTAGCGAAGGGCCGCCTCATTGAGGCTCCGACCCAGGAAGAAAGAGATAAAAAGGGCCGTCTGAAGCTGGTGGCTGGCTTCCATCCGAGGAGTACAGTTCACCGTCTATTGCTCTTGTGACTATTACTGAAACAGGCCAAGAAAAGCTCCCAAGTTTTGGCACGTCTCAGATTTTCCAGTCTGCACAAAATCATGCCAGGAACATTTACTGAAGCAATTTCTTTCTTTCTTTAAAGACTCTAATTATGCACCTAACAATGTTGTAGAAATGAGCGTTGTACAAAAACCCCAGTACAGTTCAGATACAGTTTTGCCGACAAAAGGATTAGAAGCTTAAAGCTCAGTGTTAATATTCTGAACATACTGAAAGGCACAAAGTGCAAACTGCAGCAGAAACAGAAGAAATAGAGAGGTTATCACTTCCAAAATCTGAAAGAGGGAAAACCACACAGGAAAATGCCATGCTAATCTTACTAAGTGATACAGGCGGTAACAAGGGGGCATTTAGAAGAGGGCAACCATCAAAGCCGTCTTTGAAATGCAAGCAGCTCACCTGCAAGCACAGCCCACTCCCTAGAAAACGAGAAGGTCTAGATACCCCCAAGGGTGGGATACTACCTGTGAGTGAACTGATGGTCACCACTTGGCAGCTACCAGCAACAAGGAATCAAACCGAACCCCAAAACAAAAGTTGTCCGAGGTGTCAATTTTCCCTGAAACCAGACCCAAACCTCACTCATCACTCTCAAGTTTTGCTGAACTTAGACTGGCGTCGAACCAAGACAGTCACTGGTTTGACACCTGGACCACTACCCCTGAAAACAGTCAAATCATTCATTTATCCACTCAAGCACGAACTGGCCTTTAAAACCAAGTTTTGAACACGATGGCTGTACATTTTTCTTACTTTCAGTTTGCAGATGAGGCACAGAGACATGACAGTACTTACACTTGGGAAGCCATCCAGGTACTCCAAATTAGAGTACAGGAGGCAAAAGCCAGGATTTAGCACTTTGACCGCGTCAACATAATGTTAGCCGCACCAGCGAAATCAGAAATCAAGGGCCAAACACATCTTGGCTACGTCTCTCCTGGTGACTGACTCCAGGAGGCTTTACTCAGACCACTGCCGTCACTATTTAGCTGTTATTATCATCCATCTTACGGATGCACTGCCGTGCGCTTCCTTCCTACAGAGGTTTTGCTGTACATTGACCCGAACTGGTTAAGGTTTATTTAGGGTTCCTAAGAAAATGAGTAAAACCAATCTGGCTTTTTCAGGACAGCATTGGAGAGGATGCGTGCAAACGCTGACTACATAAGTGTGTCATGCCTTGGGAAGAAAGTGTTTTACAATATTACCATGTACAGGCAGATGTGAAACGCTAGCCCGTACTACAGCTCCGTCCCGCTCCCCTTGGTTTTCACGACAGCCGCGACGAGAGCTGTACCGCGACAGTGTCGGCTGGCAGCCGCCCTGTCTCACCTCCGCTCTTCACGTGCCCCAGCGTTTGCATTGTTCGTCCCTTCAGCGAGCGGCTGGCAGTTGCGGGGAGTTCGCCGAAGAGCTTTGCTTACGGGGACGGAGCGACAGCGACGGGTTTCGCCCTAAAACCCCCCTCTTTGCCATCACCCGGGCAGCGCGGTCCACGGGCGGGAGGCAGAAAAAGAGGGAACCGTTTGTGGGAAGTCGGGCGCGTTTATGCATTTTTTTGCGCGGAGCCAAACGGCGATGCTCCAGGGTGGGGCTGGCCATCTGGGAGAAATATGTAGGGAGAAAAAATGCAGGCGGGGAGGACGAGCCGCCCCTCGAGCGGGACCGCTTCCCTCCGAAAGCAGGCTCGGCCTCCCTCCCCTGCCCAGCTTGAGTTCATTTTCCTCCAATCACTTCCA